ACAGCCCTATGCTACAATGGAAAGGCTACGCCCCCCAAGGTGTTGGCCACAGAGAATAAAAGCAGGACAGCTGGATGCCTTCTTCCTTTCTGTACTGTATGCTGAACCAGCCAGTATGACACGCCAAGTCTCCACAGATATGGCCCTGCAGCTGATCTTCGAAGATAGCGAGGTTTCTGATCTTGATGAAGAGGAGTCGATTTCAGAAACCGAGGACCACATCTCGGCGGTTTCAGAAAGTGAAAGTGACTTCGATGACAGAATTTTGGACGCAGATTTTGTTCCATCTGAAAGTGACTTCGATGACAGAATTTTGGACGCAGATTTTGTTCCATCTGAAAGTGACTTCGATGACATAATTTTGGACGAAGATTTTGTTCCAAGTACAGAGGTAAGACTTTGATTCCAATGCAATACGCCGTCTGTTTGATCAAATGTGCTGTGTGTGATATTTAGCGCTTGCTCATTTGTAACCTTGGCTATCATTACTGTGGTTTCAGTCTTCCTCGAGAGGGAAAAGGAAGAGAAAAACCAAAGAAATTGTGTCGGTCGAGCCCGGTAAGCTCAAGAGAAGAAGACTGTTCATGGAGGAGCTGGAAAAGGCCCTAAAGTCACCCCACAGACCTACAGGCCCACAACCACCAGTGCCTGAGGTAAGTGTGTAATGCTGTGGCATAATACTATATGTGTGACACTCATGCTATGGTAGAGAGAGAGTATGGAAGCCCATTCCCGCCAGTTAAATGAGAAATAAAACGCTCTAAGTCGTTATTTCTACTTAGCTAAGTAGAAAATCCGACATATCTAAGTCGGAATTCCATAGTTATAGTTCAGTTATTCTTCTTCGTGTTTTGTCGCGGAGACCAGAGCTAACGCTACAGCACCTTTCACACCACACAGTTCAGATGGATGGAATAATTGAAGATTATTTCAGGCGTGGGTCCGTTTTGAGTGAATTCCAATGGCTGTTTGTTATCCAGTGCACGCTACGCTACGGTAAAGGGTGCTGCAGCTCTCCGTCTCCGCGCCAAAAACAACTAAACAGGAAGAAGAACTACTTCCGCTTGACAGGCTTTCGTCAAGATACTTTGAGCTATGTAGAAATTTCGACATATATAAGTCGGAATTTCGATTTAGCTATGTAGTTATTCCGACTTAGCTAAGTCGAAATTCTGACATAGCTAAGTTAGAATTTCTACTTAGATTTACTTAAGTCATTATTTCTACTTAGCTTGTCGGAATTTCGATTTAGCCATGTCAGAATTTCGACTTAGCTAAGTCGGAGTAACTGGCGGGAATGGGCTTCCATAAGAGAGAGAGACTAAGTGAAAATTCTAATTTCTTATCTTTTCATTTTTCTAGGTTGCTGCTGGAACCAAAAGGCGATGTGCATTGTGTGGACCCAAGACACAGAGGAAGACACAGTACACATGCACCACGTGCAAAAAGTTTATATGCAATGAACACACACGAAGACTGTGCCTTGATTGCGATCCATAAGATTGCTGCATTCACTGCGGTGTGTGTGTGTGTGTGTAAATGTGTAAATAGTTACTGAGTGTTCAGCTTGTGTTTTTTTGGCAAAGTTTGCTGTATATTGAAAAGAGTGTGGGTCAAATAAAAATGACCTGGTGTGAAAAGTCTTGCATCATTTGTGAATTTATTAGTTTTTCGTGTAGTCAAATATTACTATAACATAGGTAAAGGGCAAATTTTTACATTTTTTGATTATTAGTAGGTTTTTACAATAAAACATCTTGGATTATGTGGAGTTGCACAGCCATAAAGATGCTCCGGGTGTGACAGATGAACAGAGGGAGTGTGTAGTACAGAACACTCTGCAAATGGGGGGCTTTTTTGTGTAAATAGCTACTGAGGGCTCAGCTTGTGCTTGTTTGGCAGACTTCCCTACATGTGTCCCCGACCCCTTCAATGCATGTCATTCAAATAGAAATGAGCAGGTGTGAAAAATCTTACTTTATTTGTAAATGTATTTCTTCCTCTGGCCAAATTTTACTATAACACAGTTTTACCCCTGATGTTGTATAATCTAAAAAAGGTAAAGGGCAAATTTTAACATTGGATCACTGCTAGGTTTTTACACTAAGAATAAAACATCTTGGATTATGTGGAGTTACACAGCCCTAAAGATGCTTGGGGTCTGACAGATGAACAGAGGGAGTGTGTAGTACATTTGAACAGAGCACAGGTGATTGCTGCCATGGGTTTGAACCAGCAGAGGACATCCCAGCATATATACTGCCTTGATGACAGCCACCTTCTTCCTGCTCCACCTCTGCTACTCCCAGCAGCCAATGCCATAATTTGTGATGGATGTGTATTTTCTGAACCTTTTGCTAAAGTAAGAGATTTGAGGATCACAATCTTTAGTTGTAATAGCAGGTACTTCTTGCGGATGTTAAAGCACTGTTAGTGGTCTATGCAAGTCTAGATATTGGGTTTTGAAGTATCCATAAGTCTCACATCCTCTGTATATAACCCCTCTCACTGTGGTTATATACACTTCTATAGTAGCATTCCAGTAGTTCCCTGTTCTCATCTCTTGTCCATGAACATCTTGTTCCAGTAGCCACTTCTCATCAGGTTGTCCTGTTTCCTCAACACCTGACCTGGACCTTGCTGAGCCGGGCAACGTCCGAGGTGTGACTCTTATTTTTCCAACTCTGATGTAGGCAGGGTAGCATTAAGGGCCTTGCCCAGGATGGATATTGACCTGACCAGGGTTCAAATCCCCAACCTTCCGTACCAAAGTCAGTTGTGTTAGCCACTGAGCTATCTAGTAAACTGTGTGTGTGTGTGTAAAGTGAAGAACAACACAGACAGTAGTATATACTCACTTCATTAAAGTCACCTTTGCAGCTTTATCCTCTATCTCTAATCACCTCAGCAGCTGCAATAAAATTCAACAAACTTCTAATGGCAATATCAACAGTACACTTCATGAATCAGTAACTTTGATAATCACATTTTACAGGCTAACTGTAAAAGAATGCATTGGTTTCTGATCAGAGACTGCTGACAGAACAAATAAGACCAGGATTAATCAAGCCTGACTGTTAGCCTGGTCTGGAGCAGGATAGCTGCAAAGAATAAATCTCCATAGTAACTTAAATTATCTTACAGTTGCAAAAGATCTTTTGCAGTTTCCTGATTTTCTGCATAAATTAGTCATGAAGTGTGATCTGATTTTAATATATATAATATTTCTAAGCTGATAAAACACAAAGTCATGATTTTTCATGTCTTTATACCTATTTAATATTTCATGACCAATTTATGCAGAAAACCAGGAAACTGTAAACAGTGCCATGACTTTTTCTGGCAACTTTATATACTATGTCTATGACCCCTACATGACAAAAGGTGTTCCATTAGTAGAGGCAGGTCAGTGGCAGGTGTGGCATCTCAGGAATATGGCAGGTCAGAGAGGTCCATGGTTTTACTGAAGATGATGGAAAACTCTTTAGACAATAGTTGGTGGAGGCTTATACCATCACGAATGTATACCCAGCGTTCACCTGTCCAGTCATAGCGTTTTGGTCCACTGCAGAGAAAAGAAGAAAGGACATAACCTGCCATTACAGATTTTCAATAAAAAGAACAAACATTTTTGTTGCCTTATTTATACATTTGTGTTATTTTTGCATTTACATTTTAAGACAAATATTTATAGAATTCCATAAAGTGCTTTAAAGTATATATTGTAAATAGGCACTTTTTGGGTAAAGAGCTCCACTATACATGCTTGCATACCAGAAGTATTTTTGAATCTGTCTTAGCTTGAGTTCTGAGTACAAGAGAAATGTACGTTTTGTGAGGTCAGGATTATACTTTAGTCTGCGAGGACTATTCACACTGAAAATGACAGCTAAATTCAACTGTGAGCCTCTCAAAATACACTAGCTCATTCTGTATTCCATCACGTTATTATACAACCCCAAATCAAAAAGTTCAAAATTAAACTGAAAATAGTGATGTGTAAATCATGTGTCCCTTGTTACACTGAAAATACAGCAGCACATTATTTGATACCACATCAATTTTATTCTTTGTTCAAAATAAACACTTCAATTCTAATGCTGCAACATTAGAAAAGTTAGGACAGTAAAGCATTTACCACGGTGTGATGTTGTCGCTCCTTTTCACAACACTTAAAAGACATTTAGGGACTGAGGACACCAAGTGATTAAGTTCTCTATTGGGGACATATCAGGAATGCAGGCAGGCCAGTCCAGCACTCACACCCTTTTCCCCCACAACTAGGCCTTGGTAACCTGCACAGTATGAGGTTTTGCGTTGTCTTGTTGAAATATGCATGGACGATCTCGGAAAACATGCCGTCTTGAAGGCAGCAAATGTTGCTCCAACATCTCTGTATTTTTCAGCATTAATGGAGCATCACAGAAGTGGAACTGACCTTTGCCAAGGGCACTGACACAACCCAGACCATGACAGACCCTGGCTTTTGGACTTGTTGCTGGTAACAGTCTGGATGGTCCTTTTCATCTCACACAGCATCCATTCCTTCCTAAAAAGGGCCTGAAATACTGATTGGTCTGACCACAGTACATGTTTACACTGTGTGATGGTCCATCCCAGATGCCTCTGAGCCCAGAGCAGTCAACTTCTGGACACTGTTGTCATAGGGCTTCCTTTTGACACAGTACAGTTTTAAGCAGCATTTATGGATGTAACTACGTATTGTACTGCCTGACACAGGTGTGCCATAGGCATCCTGAGCTCATGTGGTTATATCGCTTATAGAAGAGTGATGATTCTTGATACAGTGACGTCTGAGGGATCAGAGAGCACGGTCATCCAGCTTAGGCTTGTGCCCTTTATGCAGTGAAATCCCTCCAGATTCCTTAAATCTTTTAATCATGTTCTGTACCATAGAGCATGACATATCCAAATCCAAGGCACCGGGGGTGGATGAGATCCACCCTGAGTACCTTAAGTCTCTGGATGTTGTTGGGCTGTCTTGGTTGACACGCCTCTGCAACGTCGCATGGCGGTCGGGAACAGTGCCTCTGGACTGGCAGACTGGGGTGGTGGTCCCTCTTTTTAAGAAGGGGGACCGGAGGGTGTGTTCCATCTATAGGGGGAATCACACTCCTCAGCCTCCCCGGGAAAGTCTATGCCAGAGTACTGGAGAGGAGAATTCAACCAACAGTCGAACCTCGGATTCAGGAGGAACAATGCGGTTTTTGTCCTGGCCGCGGAGCATTGGACCAGCTCTATACCCTCTTCAGGGTGGTGGAGGGTTCATGGGAGTCCACATGTGTTTTGTGGATCTGGAGAAGGCATTCGACCGTGTCCCCCATGGCGCCCTGTTGGGGGGTGCTCTGGGAGTACGGGATCCGGGACCCTTTGCTAAGGGCCGTCCAGTCCCAGTACGACCGGAGCAGGAGCTTGGTTCGCATCGCCGGCAGTAAGTCAGACTTTTTCAAGTGCATGTTGGACTCCAGCAGGGCTGCCCTTTGTCACCGGTTCTGTTCATTATTTTTATGGTCAGAATTTCTAGGTGCAGCCAGGGGCCGGAGGGAGTCCGGCTTGGGGACCACAGGATCTCGTCTCTGCTTTTTGCAGATGACGTTGTCCTGTTGCTTCCATCAAACCAGGACCTCCAGCATGCACTGGGGTGGTTTGCAGCCGAGTGTGAAGCGGTTGTGTGAAGCACCTTCCTAGGGAGGTGTTCCAGGCTTGCGACCTGACTGTTTACAGATTAAGCTCACTGATACTAGGTTCTTCTGAACATCAACTAATTTTTTGAGTCATCACATATACCTGCACTACTCAAACACCCGTGTTTATGAATATCTTGCTAATTTCTAAATTTAACTTGCTACTTTAGGTCAGCTAACCCAGAGGCTTAGATGAGGGCAACGGCTTTTCCCTCTTCCTCTGAGTGGCATATGTTCAGTTATTCCTCTACCTCCTTTAGCGATAATGGTACTTGTAATAAGTGTCAGATTTATTACAGGCAACACTGGAGGCAGGGGTCACTGAAGTGGACTTAAAAATTGCATTTTGTGTTTACTTGGGTTATCTTTGTCTAATATTTAAATTTGTTTGATGATCTGACACATTTAAATGTGACAAACATACTAATGGTTAAGATTAGGTCATAGAATAACTGATGTATAACTTGTATAGAAGTAACCTGTCTTTTAACCTAAGTAGTCCCTTGCATTTTCAAAAATCCATTATCATTACGGTCCCTAAGACATCAGACACATCCACTCCGACTGACTTCAGGCCAGTGGTGCTCACATCAGTCGCCATGAAGTGCTTAGAGAAACTGGTCCTGGACACTGTAGACCCCCTCCAGTTTGCCTAACGCCCCAACAGATCAGTGGACGACGCAATGGCTCTGGCTTTATTTCCATACCCTGAAACACCTGGACAACTGCAGGTAACATCTGATCTGAGCTGGTCACTGAACACAGCTGCCACAGTGAAGAAAGCCCAGCAGCAGCTATACTTCATCAGGCAGCTCAGAAAAGCTGGGTTGAACCATTGCCCTCTCACCCAGGCTTATAGAGGACTGATAGAGAGCATCCTCACTACTGGAATCACAGTCTGGTATGGTAACACCACACAGGCAGAGAGGAAGGCTCTTCAAAGTGTCATGAAGACTGCAGAGAGGATCACAGGGACTGAACTGCCTGCTATGGACACACTATACACACAGCGCTGTTGTAAAAGGGCAGAGAACATACTCAGAGATCCACACCACCCAGCTCACTCTGCTCAGACACAAAAACTGCACCTACAGCCTCAGGCACAGCAGCATGGACAGTATCATCACACACAGAACTAGACTTTACAACAGCTTTTTCCCTGCTGCAGTAAGACTGATAGCAAATACTAAAATGTGAGAATGCCATATCTAACTCCACCATGTGAATTACTAAGTTCGATGTTTGAAGTTCACTGAGAAAATACTATTACCCTATTTTTGTGTATTGCAGTTTTAAAACTTTGTTGCCTTTATGTAACTTTATTTTAAGACTAAGTGTTCTTTCTGGCTTTTGACTCCTTACCTGACTCCAGAGGAGAGCTGCACAAGAATTCCTATATGCCTAGACTGTCTGTTTATGCATAAATGGTAAATAAAAATCTTGACTTGACTTTAAATATGCAAAAAACTAAGAAACCAGAAAGGGGGCAAATACATTTTCAAAGCATTGTATCTGCTAAGTGACAACAAAATGTTGAATGCATCTCAACAAATGCTGCAGACACCCTGCAGAATACACACCCACACTCCTGAGTTACCAGATTTTCCTAGGTCAGTCTGCTTGGCTAAATGAATACAAAGCTTAAGTACATGGACCTTTGGTAAGAGAAGTACATAAGGACTCTGATTTTAAGTCAGGTTAGAGTGTTGAAGTGTTATTGTGCTGTTTTGTCATGCCTTTGATATTGTGACTATACAACAGTCACCTGCACTTCATGTATTAATTCACGTTTGCTGTGAAGGTACCAGGAATGCATTTCTACAAAATGGGGAAATGTGTTCGATACAGTATAATATACTGCACGTTATTCTCCAAGCTGCCACTAGGGAAACTACTACTTCTGCTATGGCATATCCTGTGGGTTCATGGGTACAGTTCTGCCATGCTGCATGATCACCCAGTAAATTATAGTTGTTAAATCCAAGCCAGCTTTCCGTGATTACAGGCCATCCATCATAACACAAGGGCAAGGTACATCAGTGTCTGATAGCACCATCCGTCGCTTTCTGAGCAACAGTGGGCTCAATGGAGGACACCACTGCTGGATTAAAAAAGAAAAACAAAAAAGCCAGATTGAATTTGTTCAAATGCATATTTACAAGCCAAAATGCTTCTGGGAGAATGTCCTGTGAACAGATGAGACAAAAACTGAATTTTGTGTTAAGTCACATCAGCTCTATGTTCATAGCATATAGCTATGATTAACACGCCAATGGATGGAAGACCACAAGCAAAACTGAAATGATCGCTTTTCTGTGAATTTGATTGTTTAATTCATTTTAGGATGAACTCTGTCTCCACTACCAAATCAACTAATGATAGTAATTTTAATTTAACTAATCTGGGCTTGGAATTAACTAAATGAGTTTGTATACTGTCAGAAGTGGAACTGTTGGGTTTGAAAAATCACTCAGACATGAGTGAGCATACCGGAACTACTGTACCAGTTAGGAATAGTTTGTTCTAAAGACTATTCCTTTCTTTAGCACAATCAGGGTGTGGCATTAGATGTGCTACAACATTCCAGCCTTACCTGGTAGGAGAAGAAAGCCAGATCTGTCTGTTTGGTGTCTGTTTGTTAATGACATAGGTGCCATGGTTTCCACCCACCTTCACTGTCAGCACACCACTCTATACATGGAACAAAGACAGAACACACTATCGATCATCTCAACAAACCTGAACATACTGCATTACTCTTGAGGCTTTACACTGCTTTTGCTACTGTAGGTGTGGTACCTATTTCACAATCTGAACATTTCTAAAGATCAGGGATCAACAGTTAACATGTTTCTCATTTCTTTCAGCTATACACAAAAAATGACTTGTGACTATAGGGAGAACAAGCCAAGCTATTCCTTTAAACATGCTAACCTTATACCTAAGATCATTAAAGCCCCTCTGTAACAGGAATAATATGCTTGAACAGTGTTGTGCATGAACCTACAAGGTGTGAACTACAGTGGAACTTCAGGATTTAATATGGGGGTGACTGTGGCTGTCATCTCCTAACCGTAAGATTAGCAGTTCTCTTCCCGGCTTGTCCAGTCCACATGTCGAAGTGTCCTTAAGCAAGACACTAAACCCCCAGTTGCTCTCGGGGATGACACCAGTGTGTGAATGTGCGAGTGTGAATGGGTGAACGGCCAAATAGTCTGTGAAAGCACTGAGTGTGCTGCAATGCACTGAAAAGAGCTATACAAGTATAAGGGTCAGAGGTCAAAGTGTTTGTCATATGCACAGTTAGGAAACATGTTTCCTTGTACAATGAAATTCTTTGCAGTCTACATCAATGCCACCTATTACAAATGAAATATAAAGTAGATGAATAAGTAACACAAAATCTAAGGCACTTTAAGCAGCAAATGTAGAGAAATAATAAAAAAAATATAAGAATATAATAAGAGAGTGTATACTGCATGGGAGCAGTATGTGCAGCAGTCAACAGTCAATGTGCAATTATGCATGTGCAAACTGAGAATGTAAACAGTACAGGTCATGAGTACATGACGTATTTCCTAGTAATAAACTCCTGTCAGCTGTTTACAAGTCTGATGCCAGACAGAAAGAAAGAGTTTTTCTTCCCCGGGGCCTCCTCCCGGTGGGACATGCCCGGAACACCTCCCTAGGAAGGCGCCCAGGATGCATCCGAAACAGATGCCCGAGCCACCTCAGCTGGCTCCTCGCAATGTGGAGTAGCAGCAGTTCTACTCTGAGGTCCTCCTGGGTGACCGAACTCCTCACCCTATCTCTAAGGGTGCGCCCAGTGGAGAAAACTCATTTCGGCCGCCTGTATCCAGGATCTTGCCCTTTCGGTCATGACCCAAAGCTCATGACCATAGGTGAGAGTTGGAACGTAGATTGACCAGTAAATCGAGAGCTTCGCCTTACAGCTCAGCTCCTTCTTCACCACAACGGACCGGTACATAGACCGCATTACTGCAGAAGCTGCACCGATTCCCGTTCCATCCTTCCCTCACTTGTGAACAAGACCCCAAGATACTTTAACTCCTCCACTTGAGGCAGGAACTCTCCACCAACCTGAAGGGAACAAGCCACACTTTTCCGACTGAGAACCATGGCCTCGGATTTGGAGGTGCTGATTCTCATCCCAGCCGCTTCACACTTGGCTGCAAACCGCCCCAGTGCATGCTGGAGGTCCTGGTTTGATGGGGCCAACAGGACAACGTCATCTGCAAAAAGCAGAGACGAGATCCTGTGGTCCCCAAACCGGACTCCCTCCGGCCCCTGGCTGCGCCTAGAAATTCTGTCCATAAAAAGAATGAACAGAACCGGTGACAAAGGGCAGCCCTGCCGGAGTCCAACACGCACTGGAAACAAGTCTGACTTACTACCGGC